AAAAAAAGAAGGCAGGTTACTCACGTGTAGGATCAACGCCTGCGTGCTTGAGCTGGCCGAAGATCGAGTGCTCACCACGGTTGATCGACTTATACTGGTAATCCATGATCGCCCGGGTGCCTGTTGCTTCAGTCTGTCTAAGATCTCCTGCAAATCCAGGAATGGCCGGTATCACAATGATTACCCGGAACTTTCTGCCTTCTTTGGAAGCACGGACGCAAGCATCAACGATTGCGCGTCCAATCGTATTAAGTATAGGCTTCTGCTGATCTCCAGTGGCCGTGACTAACAGAATCAGCAAAATGCATAGTGAAAGGGGAACAAGTCGAACGTACTGAAGAATTGATTCTCAATGTAGACGTAGTGTTCGGCTTTGCTGATGATCTCCTTGTAAGCGTTTTGGATGCTGTGCTCAGTCAGGATACCGCTACTCCAGTCAGCGCTGCTGCGCACAATTTGTGCCCGCGCACTGCCTTGGGCACCACGGGGCTTCGAGGCTAGGGGTTCATAAGGATGCTGGACATAGTCACCGCAAGGGTACTTAGGCCGCTGCACAGCGACTAGGTCCTCATCTTCGCCGAGACGGCCCTCCAGCATCAGCCAATCAACAGATTTATCACGCTTATACTTATCGCGCTTGATAAAGTTCCACCGTAGGACAAAGTGCTCAGCAATGTCATAGACACAGTCACCCATAAGACCCATGGCCACATCATGCCAGGGCATTCGGCCATAGTCCGCCTTGCTGAGTTCATTTGCTTGCCATTGTGCAACACTCTGAAAATCCATGATGCGATTGTTGTTGAAATCCTGTCCTGGGAAGACCTCGTCCTTCATATTTGATGGGTGAACGTCAGCCAGAGGGTGCTGGTTAGCATCCCATCTCCCAAAGCATAGATCGATGCCTCCAATAAATGCCAGAGCATAATCAATAACAATAAATTTCTCGTGATGGGCCTGGTCATCATCAGCTGTTGACCATTAGGCATATTTAGATGCATTAGCTCACCCAGTACAATGTCATGTCCGCTGCATTCTCAAAAATGTTATGATCCGGATGTCGCAGAATCTTGATGTTTCCATGGCCAGGAGAACCTTCTGGGCAGAGATTGCGTAATGCGTGTTTCGTATGGGCCGAGTTACAAGTCAGTGCTTGATTAACCTGACTTTATAAGTGACTGAGCATTTCAGCGTAACTGAAGGCGACTGACCTCTTTGTATACGATCACGTAGATTTTCACTCCGGCTTCTGCACGGCGTTTGAGCACTTGATCCAGTCGCCATTCCTGACTCTGATACGCGGGTCTGCGTAGGAATAGCTCCGGGGAAAGCCACCAGTCTTCGATGTAGATGACCTCCTTTGCGTTTTCGAGAGCGATCGAAACAGCCCAGAGATAGTCTAGCGCATCAACATACCACTTGACCTTATTGCCCTCTCTAATCGGAGCGAAGGACTCAAAACGATGGGATTCGGCGATTGCTGTTCTTTTTCTGTCGGTTTCTTGTTCATGCGCTTCGTCATGGCGGTGGTTCGGGTTGACAATGTTGAAGAATTTGCCAACCTTATGCTTGACGTGGTGCGCCTCCTCTACAATGTTGGCATCTATCGGGCCCAGTCAGTTTGTTCGTAGCAAATTGGTGGATAGGATTGACCTTTAAAAGAACCCTCCAACGACTGGAGCTTTTCCTTGAACTTGTCCATTGTGACGCTTTACAACAACGCCCTTGGGGAATTGAATTGAAAAAAAGAACGACTCAACGTGGGGAGTTGTAGTGCAGCCAGGCAGCCAAGTGTTCCTGAAAAAGTGGGCTCTGCTCCAACGAACAATGATTGAGGGGGGTACGTAGGCGCCGAGCCCCCAATGACATCACGTTATTCCTTAGCCTTATAGCCGTACCAAATTAAATGCTTGGGCCTGAGATCTCGTCACCTGATGTTTCACTCCACGAATCCACACATCAGAGGCACTAAAATAGTGTTCCACGGAAGTTGCGGAACCTCGCAAGTGCAATACTTGTACGGAGTACATACGTTACTGCGTACTCTGTACGGAGCTGAACCGCTCCTTCGTGTCTCGAACATCGCCGGTACGCCCCACCCTTGCTTCAATGCAAGCGAGCAACACTATTCAAAGAATCAAGATACGTAGTGGGTACGTTCCCAATGGCTCTACGATCATCATGTTTGAGTCCTGTGACATGTAGTAAATTCAAACTCGCAACATTGATTTACTGACCAGATTCTATGTAGCACCATGAGGGCAATGCGCAACAATATCTACAAGGATGACGTCGATTTCGCCACACTAGCACTGCAATCACCCAATTTTGCAAAGTAGTAAGTCTTGGTTCCCACCGAACCAGAAGTCAAGAGGTTTCACGTTCTAAGGCGATCGTGCTGAGATGTTACAGTCTGAAACCAAATAATCAATTGGACTTCAGCGATCCGGATGCTGTTCGGTGAGATCGACAAGCTGTGGGGTCTGGCCTTTCAATTAACTTTCAATAGCCAATTAAGCATAAGTCTCTTGCAACGAGACTTTGGCTTGAACGTTCACATTCCGGAGAATAGGTTATGCCCGCCGGTATGTACCAGCCAGTGTACATCTGTATCTGTTTCTACTGACAAAAGTTATAGGTGCCAAATAGGTGCGCGATGACCCCGAGCATGGATTTCCATTTCTAATGATATCAGGTTAAATTATATCCTATGGTTGCAAAGCCTTTTAGACACTACTGGCGATGAATATCGTGATAACTACGACCCTGATCGAAAGGTTATCGGGCTTGACATGTACGGCTCGTTCCATCATCAGTCGAGGTAAATTTGATCTAACTTCCACAGAGGAACAGGATGCTGCAGCATATACCCGCTTCTTGGCTGCTCTGTTCGGCCACAGTGGAATTTTGTAGCAACAGGTAAGGTTGACTGTTTGAGAAATGAATAGCCTAACACTAAAGGACGCGTTAGACATCGATGATGACAATATACGAACGTCTCAAGAAACTGTGTCTGGGAATAGGTTAGACTCTCGAATCCGCATTGTCAAGACCGATTCCAATGGTGATCTCATTCCCTTGGAGAAGCTTGAAGTCGAAGGGTATGTGAATCGCCGATACTTTACGTATTTCTGCTCCTAATGTGACTAAAGCCTTGATTTCACAATGTGCAACCCTCCATTTTATACCTCTCGCGAGGAGCTGGTGTCCTCAGCGCAGGCAAAAGAACGGCCACCATTCTCTGTAAGCCACATACCCCAACGCAAAGGCCATGTACTCACACTATATACAGGCATGCACCGGTGCAGAAGTGGAAATGGTTACCCAAGGAGGGGAAGTTGCTTTCGTGTCTCGCATGATCGAAGAAAGTTTCAGGCTCCGCCAGAAAGTCTTATGGTATACTTCGATGCTGGGAAAACTGAGCAGCGTCTCCATACTGGTCGAGAAGCTCATTGGATATGGAAATCACAACTATGCGGTCACGGAGTTTGTCCAGGGCTCTAAGACTAGGAGATGGGCGATAGCATGGTCGTGGGGTGATCTCCGCCCTTCTGTGGTATGTCTCGCTCACTCGCACATGCATTCTGGAATACTGATAGCGATAGGACGTGGCGAGATCGATCACGACCTTTCCGAAGCACCTTCTCCCTTTCCCGTCCGAATACATCTTCGATATCCCCAACGCCTCTATCGACGATGCAAGTCAAAAGCTCGACAATGAACTCACTTCTCTTCCGCTTCAATGGCTCTGGCGCAATAATTTAGCCGTGGGAGTCGGGTTCGCTATGGAAAATGTGTGGTCCCGCCAGGCGCGTAGAAAGATGAAAGGTTCTGCTGGTGCAATGCAGAATATAGAAGTTGATGACAGTAGCGCAGCATTGGGGTTCAAAGTGCATCTGAGGAAGGAAGGCATCGAGGAGAAAGGCGTTCGTGTACTGATAAGATGGCTCAAGGGCACGGATTCGGTGTTGTTCGAGAGCTTCTGTGGCATGGTGAAGAGGAAGCTTGAGGGCAGGTAGAGGAAGCAATATAAGTTCGGTTGTTCTTGGTGCTCTCGATTACGGACCATCTCCGGTTAACACTTAATAGTAATCAGATGAGCTGGATTGTCTTCACCCGAATAGCTTCGGAGGTCAGCGAGGGTTCAGCCTTCCCACATCCATCCTCCTATACAGTCTTATAGGACTCCATTAAACGACTTGCCGGCCTTCTGACTCGTGCTGTTGGATGAATTACCGTGCCCAGCGCCATGCCTAACAGCATGGGCAAAGGTGCAGCTGACGAAGGTCACGCCAGCACCGGAAGCAAACAGAGGAATAGTGGCAGATTGGATAGGGAAGAACAACGGAACTCAGTATATCGCAGTCTGTTCTCCACTGGGGGTGTTCGAAGGAAGCTTCACCTAGGAGCACTATATCTCGTCGCACAGTTTTATGCTAGAGCCGAGACGAGCATCCACTTTTGCTATGTTTTTATTACTATAAGTACTACTTCGCTTTGAGGACAAGCTTCTTTATTGCGGCATACATTTTGACAATAGAAGCAACCCAGAAGACACGAGGACACGAGACCGACCCATCGAACATTCAACTTGTTCGTCCCACGACAGCGACACATCTCCAGTGAAAAAGAGTTTCTTACTTCCATGATATTCTTCTTTAAATTGAGCACTACAGCATCGCTTACATGTACTTTCCTCTAGTTATAGAAATTGAATGCAGGTAGCGGGTGTTTGTAAGACTAGTAGCTGTGCGACCTCGGGAATGCAAACTACCTACTGAGGACGGTTCTCGGCGCCCTCCGAAATATGGAAAGTTACGGTCATTAGGAAAAATCCGGTTCTTTTAGGTACATATATAAAATCCGGCTCACATAGAAAGGTTAAGCACAGGAAAGTAAGTCTACAACAGTCGCCATCCAGTGAGAGACAAGCAATCAGGTAGGCGGGATATCCAAAACACGAAAAGGTTAAAATGAAATAAAGGGAAAATGAGACGCAATCAACGTCCGACGCTGTCTTTGCGATGGGAGACCGAGCTTCTCGCGCTAACAGGTGCTTGCATAGCAGGGATTCCCAATTTTGCTTCACCGATTCTGCGAAGTAATGATTGAAGCGCTATGCGTATTTCAGGGTTCAAGTCGCGACCGAGAAGATCAACAGATAGCGGGTAGAAGGTTTGGATGTGCTTGTCAAAGCCTTCAGAAGGGAAGTTCGTGTATCCTTCCAGCACGTCTACCACTACGGGACGCCAGGCAAGCACATTTCGATGCTGCGAATCTTCGTCAAGAAGGACAAAACTGCGAATTATATCGGCACAAAGTCTAAAGAAAATAGGTTAGCAATGCATTAGCACGGAGTGATAACCAGACACTTACGGAATGAGTGCAGCCTCTGTTTCTGCACGGCTATTCCTCCTTTCTTCCCTCTCATCATGGTACATACGGAAAAGGATGTGGACGTAGGTTGCAGCACTTCCACTCTCCTGCTTGAGAAGGTTTGGCGGCTGCTTCATGAATCCTTGGCGCCAAAGCTGCATGCGCAGTTCTTTGTCCTCGTTGAATTTCTTCGCGAACTGGTAACTCTTCTTCAGCAGCCCCATCAGTCGAAGAAGCTCATGGCTCGGAATCTGCGCATAAACCTTGTCGTTGGAGAAGAGTTCATGAACAGTTTCGATCATAAGCAATTGAAGGACGCAGTTCGTTATGATGCGGTTGAAGTACCGACGACGGGCAGCAGTGACCGCAGCTGGCTGTTGCTGTACCTCGGCAGGTGGTCTGTAGTCTTCCAGCCCAGAGTTGGCAGCGGTAGGCATATCTCCTTCCTCATGCTCATGTGTCACATTTTGCAGTCCGTTAGTTTTCGAAGCGTCGGTAAGGCTTTCCCGTGCTGAGGATGTTTCAGTAGTCTCTTGTGCACCTCCCTCATTGCTTGCGGCTTCCCCGTTGGTGGATTTGTGCGACTCGGAAGACTTTGTAGAGATGGCTGCTGCAGCTGTGAACAATTCGTAGGCAGTAGTCTTGCTGAAAAGCTCCACGAAGGCACCAACCACCTTCTCCCAGTGCTCCTGCTTGAACTTCATAACATTCTGCAAGATCAACTGTTGTAAACAGTTACTGCCGATTCGCGCGATAGTGTCGTTCTCTTGACAAATGCATAGTGTAAGGAGCTCCAGTATGCGGCCCAGCATGTATTCTAACGCATCGAAGTAATGCGTGAAAAGGGTAATCATGTTTCTCAATGCTTGAATCATCGTAGTGGATAGCCACACAGATAGCTCTTCGTGGTTAGGTACTTTAGACATTTCCGACTTGGACTGCAATACAACGAAGATAGGATAAAGCAGCTGTCTCCAGAGAACATCCCAGAACTCTTGAGGGAAATCGCCACCATATCTGATCAGCGTTTCGAAAAGATACGTCAAAGCTCTAGATCTTATGTTAGCCAAATGCTAGCATGTCAAGGACAAAGGGAGCTTACCGTGAGCGAACCTCAAGGTCGTCACCAGTCATCAATACGTCTTGGAACGCAATTAGGATAGGGTACCAGAACTGTTCCTCCTTAGATTGACGGCTAAGTTGCTTGGCAAGGTTTGTATTTTCATCTTGGAATTCTTCAGCTGATGATCCACGATGAGAGAGAGGACATTCAGGCGTTCTGAGCATTTTTGAGACGGTTGACTTCAAAGTTTCGATAGCCTGTAACGACTTCTTCTGGAACTTCGAATTTTTAGAGAACTCTGTCAAGCATACGACCAGATCGGGGAAAGCACCCTGCGTGATCACAATGCCAAACCGGGTGTTATATATCTGGGTAACATGTTCGAAAGCCATATTCACAATGCCCTCTATAACCACATTAGCAAATTCCATATAGCAACCCCGGAGTATCATCACTTACCATAGGGCTCGCGAGCAGCGACTGTGAAGACGCCAAACATCGTTTTCCAGCCAGAGCGAATGTTATCTCCACGGGCCTGAATCATCTGAATAAGGCATCGCAGAATCATGTCTTTCACGGTTACCGCGTTGCTATTAGCCATGACATGTTCAAATGGCTTGAGGAAATCTTTTTGAAACTTGAAACCTGGAAGTTCTTCGATCTCCATAAAGCGCATCGACAACTGACGAAGCGAGTCTAGCGCAAAAAAGACCACTGTTGTGTTGGAATGACATCCAACAAGGTTGAAATGCTGTCCAAGGACTTCCCAAATCTTTGACCATTCTATCCTGACTCTCGTCATGTTATAGTAACTAATCTCAACGAGCTTTTGCAAACTGTACGTACGGGGAGAGTCGGTTTGTCCGGAAGACTGGATCTCTTGCCAACTTACTTCGCTCAGCGCCCGGATAAAGTCAATGATGGCTTCATGAGAGAGATTGGCTGTATTTGTGAAGATTCGATCTACACCCCTGATCATCTCAGCAGATCGGCTTTCCATTGCAGCTTCGGTGCGGAAGGCCGTAGGACCGTTGATTGATCGAGGACGCGGCCGTCTTGATGACTGGAAGGATTTTCGGGAACCATCTGACGATGCTTGAGGCACAATACGCGCCCGTGAAACGTCGGGCAATGATCCTTCGTCAACGCCGTCAGTGAGAAGTTGGAGCCGATCAAGCTGGCTAACGCATGTGAGGATCTCTCTCCAGGAGCTTTTGAGGTAGTTCCCTTCTGTAAGTGCTACATCAAGTAGAGCTTTCAAAGCCTCGACATTCTTCGCCACCATTTCTCTAATGTTGCCCAAGTTCGTGAACTTGGCCAGAGCCGTCACAAATGCAACTCGAGGAGTCTCCAAGTCAAAAGAACAGCTAATTCGGATTGCCAACTTCATTCCTTCCATGCACAGTTTAATCATTTCAAGGTTTTGGGTGTCCTGCATTGGAGCAGATAGGCCGGAAAGGAAAGACATCCAAGTGACATTGAACATAGAACCAACGTGTCGAACAGAGGTAGCAGGAATAAACCGTGAGAGAGCCTCCCTGACTGCCGTTTTTCGTTGCGCCCGAATCAAGCTTCGATAAAGTTGCTCGGTCTTGTTAGCCATTTCTTCGGAGGCCTGAGCGTACTTTTCGCCTTGGATGTCCCTCCCCACAGTTGCAAAGACTTGTCCAGCCCTTGATGCCAACCCTCCGGGTGCGCCCGTGGGCATTCCTACGTTTGCAGCGTGTTCTCTCTCCGTATCAAGAACAATTTCATTACCTGCAATCTCGTCGTAAATAGACGTAAGATATTCCTCAGGTAAGTCCTGATTATCATTGATGCCCCTGTTGTTTTTTATGAATTCCTCCTTCGTCATACGACGTCCCTTCATCTTGCTGCTGTGCAGGTCTGTGTTAAGCAAGATGACGGAGTACGCAAGAACGTAAGCCGTGTCAGCATTTGCGAAAGCATTTGGATTTTGGGTTGTGTAGCGCTCTGCAAACTTGAGCATGAAACGATCGATCTTTTGGGCCTCTCCAGGCAGACGGAAATGTTGCAGGAAGCCACGGAGAGCATCAACGAAACGCCGCTTTGTGAACTCCATCATGTCAACGAATGCATGCATGATAGCAATATTCTCGGCTTCACCTTCGCGAGGTATTCTCCTACCATAGCCTTGTCTAGCCGGTCATTACGGAATAACAAGGACGCAATCTCGACAGGATCGGACTTGATAAAACCTTCTTGTATGAATAGTTTGATGCCACGCTTAGGTTTGAAATTAAACTGCTGGACGGCATTCATGAGTGCAATCTTTCTTTGCTTGACTTTCTCCATCTGGCTTGGATCATCTTCTGCCACTGGTGTTGACCGACCGGTACTACCCTCGACAACGTCGACCCTTGGGGATGAAAGGAATGCACCGGCATTTGTATCCAATGACTCTCTCGGATTGTCAATGGATTTTTGAGACGAGATATTGGGGACAGCTTGATCAGCCATACGCTGAGAGGCCCAGTTGTCTAACGATTGCAGTATCTCCACCAAAGATTCAACCGACTGGTGCTTGAGAGTATACTCAGAAGGAACACCCTGCAGATTAGGCTGTTGAATGTTGGCTACATTCGCGGTAGTAAGAGTCGGAGGCAAAGTACCACGTTGGTGCCACTCAAGTCCCAAACGAGAGATCTTGACATGGTGCTCCTGGAATTGATGCTGCTGGGCTGCAGTAATGGAGACTGGTACACTGGCATACCGAGAAAGTTGTTCGATGATATTTTGGAAAATGTTCTCCAGTGCTGTCCTGTCACAGTCATAATTGAGATATAGCTCAACTAATGCACGCGGGTCGTCTGCCAATCTTTCTAAGATTTCCATAAAATATTGCTTCTGAAAAGCGGGCGCGTTTCGCTTCTCAAGTATAGCCAGATAGATCTCTTTCAAGAACACCTCAAGTTCTTTCTTCATCATCACTCTCATATGCTTGAGCATAAGCCAGAAAATTTCACAGCACACCTCGAACACTCTTGGCACCGAGCTGGAGCCATTTCGGCTAAGACTTAGGCAGAGGTGAGGCCGAACAGCTTGTAGAAGAGTCATAGCATCCGAGCTGTTGGAGCTTTGCTTGATCGTCAACAGAGGGGACGTGAGAACAGCAATGTGGGTGTTGATTAGATAGTGAATGTGGTGCAGAGACAGCAGTTTTGATCTCATGTTTTGAGACTTCAAATCCTGCTGTTGTTCGTGGCTAAGAATCTTGTGACTCAGCTTGCACAGAGCCCGGAAAACCAGGAAAGCATCTTTAACATATACTTCGTCTTCATCCTCATCTAGAATTTCGCCGTCTTCTCTTTCCTCCCCCGAAATTGATAAGGACCTCGCTGGGGTCTGGCGGGCCTTGGCGCGTGTAACTGTTGTTGGGGCGTTGTCATTCACAGATGTGATATCTTTGTTCGACTCGAAACTTTGCAATGTCAACTTCTCGGTAGGCTCCTTAGCAACGGGTTGATCCGGGACGGTAGCAGAGGCGACGTCAGACGCTTGGTCTTCCTCGTTGGTTTGAGGGGTTTCCGCAGGATCCAGGGTCACAGTGTCAGAAGAGGACCCCTGTGCCTTTTCGCCATCACGCATATGTAGTTCTTTCAATTCAAGCCTCACACGAACTCGGTCAAAGACTGTGCTGACCATCTGAGTCAAAGATCCCTGAGCGATCTGCTGGTTTTGACTGGACTTAGAGTATATGAAAATGTTGTATATCTGGCGGACAGCTTTAAGGAGACCAGCTCCGTGCACCACAATTTTGTCGTTCAAAACCGCCGCAAGGAGTGATTTTAGGATTTGTTGTTGGACCTCAATAGGTGTGGCTTCGTTCTCGAAACAGTCGCAGATCGCATCGATAGCTCGTTCAATCAGCGGTGGCTGCTCTTGCGTGGGATCGGTTTGGGAGACATTGCCGTCCTGGGCACTAGGGAAAGCGAAGTATGAATAGGTAATAAGTTTTCCGATACAATCGAGTGCCGTCACTTGCAAGGGGACGCTAAGAGTCTTGGTTGCAAGAAGTAAAGGGCGAAAGATGACCTCCGGATCTATGGGTTGGCCATCCGACTGCTTTACATTCGCAACAGCACTCTTCACGGCGTCCTCCAATTCTTTAGTTCTCCGAGCTTCTCGGGATGCGCCAATCATGTCAAGTGCTGTTACAATGAAGACAGTGGAGCTAACGGGAACTGAACGATGTGTCGCAAATGTAGCAGTCGTTGACCTCGAATCCGAGCGCACGCGAGGATCCGGAACAGGGACATCTTGGGGTGGTACAGAGTCTCTATCGGGGGTCTCGTCGGGAGAGCTCTGTTCAGGGCCAACTTCCTCGCTACCATCTTGTGAGTTATCTGCATTTTCCTCCTTGGCATCCGACTGGAGCGATGGCTTTAGTTCGGATGTTGGGGTCTCGACAGCGTCCTTCGGGGCTGAAGATGTTTCTACAAGCTCAGCAGGTTCAGTAGAGTCCAATTCGCTGTGTACTAGCTTGTGGTGCTTTGAAGCATCCACATCGATATTTTGGCGTTCCGTCTCCTCGGGGATCGTGGGTTTGTCTTCCTCGATAGCATCGGGGGCTTCGGAGTGCGTGGAAACATCTGCCCCATGCTCTTTGTTGTCTGCCTGCGACAGAGCCGGAGATGTTTGGGTTGGCTCATTGGCAGAGCCATTCTCAACTTCCGCCATTTATGCGAGACTCCGTCCGGCGCAATCCAAATACGACATATGAGGGGTCCACATGGAAAAGCAAATGCAGGACTAGAAGCAGTGAGGAGAGGAGTTACTCCATACTAAGTTACTAACCCGCTAGTGGAACTGATGCGTGTCTTCTCCGGCGGACGGGGATAATCTACGGATGCCGATTCGTGCCAGGTACGCGACGGAGACCTGCTTACAACTTACCTAAGCAGGACACCGGCGGCACCCGGCGACACTATTCCGATCTCTCACCGGGAAGCTCAACAGAAAAGTTCCTGGAGCTGCACTCCTCAACTCTTTGATACCGGGCCCTTCCACCTGCCAGATATACCTCTCGCCCTCTCTTCCATCCTCTCTCCTCTCTTTGTCGCATCCCGGGCCCTTTCATCGTATCATACTCACAGCATTCAGCACCATGGTCGCCAGTGCTGTCCGGATGCGCACTCCCAGCGCCATGCTCACCAAAGGCGCCTCCTCCCTGAGGAGGCCGCAGGTTATGCACAGATTCAGGGATGCTGTTCAGTATGTTATAGCCTGCGCTTTAACCCACAATTTCCATGTTTCGAAAGGCTGACGTTATTACCCCTGTTTTCAGACCTCAATTGCCCGCCTTCGCTGCCCTTTCCCGCTACTATGCCTCCAAGTGTACGCCCATCCAGATTTTACTCTTCCTGTCTTCGTAGTGCAGCCATCCAATTCTAACATGTCGAGTTACAGCCTTCCCCCCTCACACCATCATTAGCATGCCTGCTTTGTCGCCAACGATGCTTGCTGGAAACATCGGTGCCTGGCAGAAGAAGCCGGGCGATGCCCTGCAGCCCGGAGATGTTCTGGTCGAGATTGAGACCGATAAGGCACAGATGGACTTTGAGTTCCAAGAAGAAGGTGTCTTGGCTAAGGTTCTGAAGGAAACTGGTGAGAAGGAGGTTGCTGTTGGTTCTGTATGTGCTGCGATGCAAATTTCAATTGTCTTGTATTGCACTTACTAATTGCGCGTCAACAGCCTATCGCCGTCCTCGTTGAAGAGGGCACTGATGTTTCGTCGTTCGAGTCGTTCACCGCTGAGGATGCCGGTGGTGACAAGGGTGCTGCCCCAGCTCAGGAGAGCAAGGAAGAATCCAAGGGTGCTACTGATGCTGCTCCCGCTTCTACACCGGCCCCCGAGCCTGCTGCTCAGGAGCCCGAGACCTCGGGTGAGAAGCTTCAGCCCAGTCTCGACCGCGAGCCTACCATCAGCCCCGCTGCTAAGGCTCTTGCTCTGGAGAAGGGTGTGTCGATCAAGGCCCTGAAGGGTACTGGCAGAGGAGGTCAGATCACCAAGGAGGATGTTGAGAAGTACAAGCCCAGCGCTTCTGCCGCTGCTGGCCCTACCTATGAGGATATTCCTATTACTTCCATGCGCAAGACTATCGCCAACCGCCTTCTTCAATCCACCAGAGAGAACCCCCACTTCTTCGTCTCGACGACTCTGTCTGTCACTAAGCTTCTGAAGCTCCGCCAGGCCCTTAATGCCTCCGCCGATGGCAAGTACAAGCTTTCCGTCAATGACTTCCTTGTCAAGGCTTGTGCTGCTGCTCTTCAGAAGGTACCTGCTGTCAACTCCAGCTGGCACGAGGAGAACGGTCAGGTTGTCATCCGCCAGCACAAGACTGCCGACATCAGTGTTGCCGTTGCCACCCCTGCTGGACTGATCACTCCTGTTGTGAAGAACGTTCAGGGTCTCGGTCTCTCCAGCATCTCTAACTCTATCAAGGACCTTGGCAAGCGTGCTCGCGACAACAAGCTTAAGCCGGAAGAGTACCAGGGTGGTACTTTCACCATCAGCAACATGGGAATGAACCCTGCCATTGAGCGGTTCACTGCTGTTATCAACCCCCCTCAGGCCGGTATCCTGGCTGTTGGTACTACCCGTAAAGTAGCCGTCCCTGTCGAGACTGAGAACGGCACTGAGGTTGAATGGGACGACCAGATCATTGTAACTGGCAGCTTTGATCACAAGGTGGTCGACGGTGCCGTTGGTGCTGAATGGATTAAGGAGCTGAAGAAGGTTGTTGAGAACCCCTTGGAGCTGCTGCTCTAAGCTCGATCCGGTCTGTTTGGGGTTCCAAAATGCCAGACGTAATACCTATCTACGACCGGAGTTCCTTTTGGCATTTGTTTTAATATGTATTAAAAATCATTCTAGTGTTTTTTTGACCGTAATTGGTCTATCAAGTACAGTGCATCAGATCTAAATCCATTTCCTATGTTCCCTTAGAATTCTATTCCCGGGCCAAATTCGTATTTAGGCTGCTGTCGACTTGCAGAGGCGACGGATTGAAAGAAATATCTCTAGGCGCTATCCATGTTTCAATTTTAATTATATGGCTTCCAAGTTCCGACTCACTGCTCCACGAGGGCCAAGCCTTTCTCGTTACAGTCGAATATGACCATGGCGGGTCTTGGCAGTGCTCCAACTCCACCGGCTGATCAGTGACGTGATGTCATTCTTTCACGCCCGCTCTTGCGCCCTGGCATTCGTATAAATCCATGCATGCGTCTTCTTTCAAACTTTACTTCACTTTCATCTAGCAGTCCCTTTAAAGTGCCGTTCTCAACTCCCCCTTCGATCAGCATCCTTGTCCTTTTACCTTTCCAGGTAGGTTGATCCTGTGTCCTCAACAACCCATTATCGACTTCATGGTACAGTCTACCAGCCATGCCTTCGCCGAACTAACTCTGTCGCAGACCATAAACACATTCATAAGCACATAACTTTCCAACCTACGTGCCACTCCAAACATGTCTTATGCCGAAGTAGCCGCCAAGGGCCCGGAACAATCCGCAGAAGAGGTACGTAGCATCTCTCTCCATACCTTCTTTGTCGCCAATAACCTTGCACTTGTTGGTATCTGGACTAACTCTTCAGCTAGGCGTAAGTCGACACATAGCCTGCTTACGAATTTATACATCAGAATATCCCTCTGACTAACTGAAATAAAGCCGTGCCCCAAGTGTAGGCGGGGTTTATAAGGATGAATCCGAGAGCACCGCCTCGCTAGTCGATGTAGATTCGCAACATGTCACCGTCGTGGATTCGAATTTTTTGGATCAAGACATCAAGACCACCACTCAAGCCGAGCGGGTAGAGCGGGAAGAGTCTGAGGAAAACAAGAAAGCGAAAGAAGAACGAAAAGCTAAGGCCAAGGCCAAGGCTAAGGCTTCTGGAATATGTCGCAACTCGGATAATCCGGTCTATATCGGCAATGCTGTGCTTTTGAGCTTGGTGGGCGCAGGACTAGGGTTCGGTGCATACCGGAAACATGTCGAAGGCAAACTCTCCTGGGAGCTGATTGGGCTTTGGTCTGGCGCTGTTGGAGCATTTGGTGCGGTTGATTATTTCGTCAGCAAGTAAGTTCCTCGGTGTGCTCAATGTCACTTGAAGCCCGTTTGCTAATGCTTAACTCTGTCAGGTGGTTTCTCCAAAACAAGTACCCTCCCAAGTAGATAGAGGGTTTTACTATTCCTAGCATTCAGTCTGGGGGTCTGTTTCTATATGACCGTTTCTGGGTGTCAGATATTTCATTATAGCTCTGTTACCCACGCTTTCCAAGAGCCGGCGTTGGCGCAGTGATGGATCTTTTTGTTGTATCAGTAATTCATAATGGCATACCCTGCTCCTTGTTTGGCATCGGAGTATCGTTAATATCCATTATATATAGCCAACGTATATCGGGAGTACACGAGCTTTAAGTACAGTACAATCAAGTTAATCATGCGTCATAGTATGACAAACCAAATGCTGGCCATGTCCCACAGGTTGCTAGACAATATTAATTTGCAAAAGCCAGCTTGTAGCTGAGTATTGCTGGTAAACAATGAAAATGGAAATAGTTGAACATTTGAAGGCTGCGCCGAGAGGCGGTCAGCGACGTCAGAACTGTGCGAGTGCAAGAACATGTGGCCTCGGCCGGGATTATCTACAAGACCGTAGTAAAGGTACAAGCATAACAACCGCATCACTTTTCCACCAAAATCACAAATCAGTTGATATTTGCTCAGTACATTGTACTAAAGGCCCTCGTACGGCAGCTGACTCTTTTCATCCGCTTTCGTAAGCCTCTACTGTGTCTACGGTAACGGGATTGTCTGTGGAAAATGGTACGTTCTTTGTATTGACGTCTGGTTATTGAATTGTGTCTAACAGGTGTATACTGCACAGAACTCTCTTTTCAATTCGGCATTGAAGCAGTCCTCTGCTATTCGTCGCGATCTGGACACATTCGCGCAGTCTCCTGCTACATCCTCACCTGCATTACAAGGTACGGACTGGCCTTTCGCTCTACAAAGATAACATGTACGAGCCTTCAGCTGTGTTGGAAACTTATGCAAGATTATAGGCCAGATCGCAGCTTCACTTGCCTCCTTATCGCGTACTGTCGATGACTACTCAGCTCTATCGAAGAAAGAATTGATACCCGAAAAACAACAGAAGGCGTTCGAGAGAGTAAAGTAGGAAACTATGTCCAAGTTGCCAATCGAGACTAGCTGACTGAGACACGGTTCTGAAGTAATTTCCGGTCGGAGCTTGCAGATTACCGACAGCATTTTGATCAGCTACGCAAAGAACGAGAGGATGCCGTAAGTTCTTGAGACTGTTTAGATTCGACAATCTTGATATGGGCTGATCCTGGTAAACTTGGATGTTATAGCAATCCGTGACAAACCGTAATGAACTACTTGGCCGACGTCCACATCACACGGCGACCCCAGAGAACCCATACGCCCAATCTTCTCTTCCACAGTCGTCGGCTTTTGCTCCATCTTCGTCCCGAGGGGGCCTCAGTTTTGGCGCTTCACCCGCAGATTACAACCGTGAGACCCATGCGCTTCGCGAGCAATCTTTCTTGGCCAACACGAGCACACAACTCGATGACTTCCTTGACCGGGGACGTGCTGTACTTGCAGATCTGGGACAGCAGCGAGAGGTACTGAAGGGGACGCAGCGCCGGCTGTATAGTGTCGCGAATACTCTGGGAGTCAGCGGTGAAACTATCCGAAAAGTGGAGCGACGGGCGAAGCAGGACAAGTGGATTTTCTGGGGTGGCGTTGTGATATTCTTTCTCTTCTGCTGGGCTGTATTGCACTTTTTGAGATAGTTTAAGATTTTTTGTTGGCCGTTGGTATGGGTTCTCTGGATGTTGCTTGGGTTTGTTTCGCAAGCGCAGGCGTTCGGATTGCATTATGATATCATTCTATACTTTTTTCTTTCTTCTATATGCCATTAAGATCAACTGAAAGGCTACATGGTCATGGATGTAATCGGGTGATCGATTTAAAACCGAGAACAAAAATCAACACAGGTCGGGTATTTATTCAAAATTATACGAGGTTTGACGCCGGTCCCCATGTGAAGTGACGAGTGATTCCGAGTCAGCCGTGCGTGGGGAAAGAATCGGAAACGGAGCGATTTAGCCGCCAACAAACCAAATTCGTTAGTGAATTCCTTCTCACCGGCAACGAAAGGCCGCCGATTCCTCTTTCCCTTTCTTCCTTCCTCTCCTTTCTCATCCGCTTTCTTTTTTTCTCTCCACCTCACCTCTCCATTTCTTTCAGATAGAATTCATTCTATCCTTCCTTACACATCATTCACAATGTTCGCTGCTCGCCAGTCTTTCAACCTCCTCCAGAAGCGCGCCTTCTCCGCTTCTGCCAGCCAGGTGTGTGATTGAATCCATCGAACCTTCTTGTTTCTGGACCTCGGAACTAGCTCTACGACAACAGAAAAACAAACCGACTAACTTACCTTCTTGTTCACAGGCTTCCAAGGTTGCCGTTCTTGGTGCCGCTGGTGGCATTGGCCAACCTCTCTCCCTTCTCCTCAAGCTCAACCCCCGTGTTTCTGAGCTTGCCCTCTACGACATCCGCGGTGGCCCTGGTATGTTTTTGCACAGCTTGCAGTATCTCCGACTTCGGTGATTTAAGACAAGACTAACATGGGTGATGCGACAGGTGTTGCCGCTGACCTGAGCCACATCAACACCAACAGCACCGTCTCTGGCTTCGACCCTACCCCCTCTGGCCTCCGTGATGCTCTCAAGGGCTCTGAGATCGTCCTCATCCCTGCCGGTGTTCCTCGCAAGCCCGGCATGACCCGTGACGGTATGGACATCATGACTTCGCAATGCCACTGGAAGTTGAATACTGATGGAAACATGGCCAGACCTGTTCAACACCAACGCCTCCATTGTCCGCGACCTTGCTAAGCTGCCGCCGAGGCTTCCCCCGAGGCCAAGATCCTCGTCATCTCCAACCCCGTATGATGAGTTCATCTACTATTACCAGTTATATCGCGCTAATTGCAATCAGGTCAACTCCACCGTCCCCATTGTCGCCGAGGTCTTCAAGGCCAGGGGTGTCTACAACCCCAAGCGTCTCTTCGGTGTTACCACCCTTGACGTTGTCCGTGCCTCTCGCTTCATCTCCCAGGTCCAGAAGACCGACCCCTCCAACGAGGCCGTCCCTGTCGTCGGTGGCCACTCCGGTGTGACCATTGTCCCTCTTCTCTCCCAGTCCAGCCACCCCAGCATTGAGGGTGAGACCCGCGACCAGCTCGTCAACCGCATCCAGTTCGGTGGTGATGAGGTCGTCAAGGCCAAGGATGGTGCTGGCTCTGCCACCCTCTCCATGGCCATGGCTGGTGCTCGCATGGCTGAGTCCCTCCTCAAGGCCGCCCAGGGTGAGAAGGGTGTCGTTGAGCCCACTTTCGTCGACAGCCCTCTCTACAAGGACCAGGGTGTTGACTTCTTCGCCTCCAAGGTCGAGCTCGGCCCCAACGGTGTTGAGAAGATCCTCCCCGTTGGCCAGGTCAACGCCTACGAGGAGAAGCTCCTCGAGGCCTGCCTTGGTGACCTCAAGAAGAACATCCAGAAGGGTATTGACTTCGTCAAGGCCAACCCTTAAATTACTCTCATAAGGTAAACTAGACCGTCTGCAGCTCTTTTCCTCCCTGTATAACAGTCTTGTGTATGACATTTTGCGCCTATTACCCATCGTGTATGCTTCCACTCGCATCGGCTTTATATCGGAGGAGATGCAGCTGCAGTTTGTTTCTGGAGCAATGACGAGCTGATGGATAGTTAACTGATGAATCCTTCTCTCGTTTCATGATGGCAAAGGCGACGAACATGTATTTCCTAAACATTTCAAAATATAATTGATTCCCCTGATGTCCGTATTCGGCTCCAAAGCCTAGTCCAAAGTAGATTGTACACATTTTGTAGTTGTGATATGTTGCGACATAGCTAAAGGACCCGCTTTACCGAGGCATATAGATAGATCTTATCTGATGCGAGGTGACAATCTTGGTCTCCATTCTTAATTCTGTCTTTATTCCTCTATCCCGAGTCTCTTACCATACCTTCTGAAACAGGCTACCTGCAAGATCCTCGTAAATTCATCCATCATAATCAAAACAAGAAACACTAATCAACCCAAGACCCGCTCCAATGATGGCACATGATCGAAAGAGGAACGAAATAGACGAAAAAAGAGAGAAGGCCAGGATCAAATAAAGTAGCTATCGCTCAGCCCGCCAACAAACCAAGTCAAAAGATAAATAGACTAATAGAATAAACTGATCACCAACGAATAGCGTATCTCTCAAGGAAAACACCGCGACCATTTCGTATCTCATTCCGTTTCTCATATTCTTGTGCTGGTTATCGTTCGTAAGTCGTATCTGCTCTTATATATGTGGTGTCTCATGTGTAGCTTCTCATTGCATCGATGTATCCTGTTCCACCGCGGAGATCGTGGTCGAATGTTTCTGCTACTTCTAAGACTCTCTTGATGTGTTCCATGGAGAGGGGGTTTTTCTCGTTGACGGCTAGGGCTTGCGCGGTGCGGACGGAGTTTTTGATCTGGGGTATGTGTTAGTTTGGGTTCTTTAGGATGGATTAGGAGTTTGGTGGAGGGGGGTAATCATACCTGTCGTCCGTTGAGATTGTGGCGCGCGAGAGCGTCGAAGTCTTTTTCGGTGAAGGTGGCTGTTTGCACGCCGTCCATTGCTTGGACTTTCTCTAGGAACATTTTCCATACGCTTCGCTTCGCCTTGGTGGTGAGGTCGCCGTATCGTAGGGCGACGTGGATTCGGGATTGGAAGGCGTCGTCGAAGGTTTCCACTCGGTTAGTGGTCAGGAAAAGAATACCTTGGAAGTACTCCAGGAGACGAAGGAAGATGCTAACGAGAGCATTGCGGTGGATGTCCTGGATCGTGCGTTTCTCGAGGAATATATCTGCTTCATCGAGCAGGAGCACGGCGCCCCAGGAATGGGCAATATCCAGGATCTTGTTGAGTTCAGCCTCTAGGGTCCGGGAGTCTGTTCCCAGCTCTCCCGCGCTGACCATGTACAACGGACGTTTGAGCAGCTCGGCAATGCCTTCGGCCGTCAGTGTTTTGCCTGTGCCTGGTGGACCGTGGAGCACAGCAACTAGACCTTTGCCCTTGCCTTGAATAACGTCGTCGATGTTCTGTGCGGCACAGAACGTGTGGGATTCGACAAGGGCCTTGACAATTGATTTCTGATTGTCTGGAAGGACCAACGAGTCGAATGCGTCTTCATTCCAGTTGATATCGCTGATCCCTGAGATGCTGAATTCTAGCCACAATTTCTCGCTGAAGGCGAATCCCAGAACCACCGGACTGGCTATCAGCAGTTCCTCTTCGGTGAAGTCCCTCTCAGATGGATCCTCGACTTCGTCCATCTGTTCCTTCTGGATTTCATTGCCATTTTCATCTAGCTCAACTTCGACCACGTGCGGCGTGCCCTCCTTGTCCTGGATGACTTTGTACCGGACTCTAGGGGCATCCGAGTCCCGACGGTGGACGTACGGGTCATCCGAGTCAGATTCTGACACACAGCAGCAGCCGCCATCACTACCGGCGCCGTCGGAGTCATCCAGATAGTCTGCATCTTTCGGGCGGACAGTGCTGATAGGATAGTTAGGGTTGATCCGACGGTGAATGGCAGGATCGATCATAACTCTTCCGTTGATGTTGACTTTGATGACAGACCGCTTCTTCTTGTAGAAACCCATGCCTTTGTGGAACCGGTAGTTCATACCTCTCATTGATACAAACTTCTTGCCTCTCTCAATTAGCTTGGCTTTGACGTCTTCAGCCTCTCGGTGGTACTTCAGCGGGTAACAGTTGAGGCTGGTTATCTTGCGGGCACCCTTAAAGCTTTCTACATCAGCCAGCATTGTTCCCATGCCAAAAGATTTCCCGTCGTATTCAAGGTAGCGGCCTTCAATGCTGTACCATTGACCTTTCATGAAAGAGGACTCCTTGGTGGCATATTCCAGTTTAAAAGCGCGTGGCTCGTCCTGATTCCCGTATGTTGGGGTATATGCGATGGTGTTTGGCTTGAACAATGCCCAGAGTAGATCGAAGGTTATTGTGTTGGCTTCTAGTAGCGGATACAGGGTCTTTTTGGTCTCGGCGTAGTCTGTATCTAGATACTTGACAAGGACCTTGAGATGGGCCGCCTTGGTTGCAGCGGTTTTTTTAGCTTTTTTCTTTTTCTCCGTCTTCGCCTGTTGCTTTAGGTCCTTCATGTATTGGCGGGTCTCTTCAAGATATAAGAAAAGCATATTGGGGTCAACGACGGCCGTCTCTTGCACTAAGCTGACCCCCTTAACGCCGTCCATCACCTTGGAAAGTGCATCGCGAATGTACTTGCTTTTCAAATCTACCACAGTCTCCGTGTACTTGTTATCCCAGTCAAATTTGCGGCGTACGGTAAATAGATATTGGTCCCATTCATTGGCCTCTGGGTCATCCACGGTCTCTGTAAGCTTGAAGTTATGAATGGTATTGTCCCACACTGAGAGTAATCATCGGGTTAGCACTGGCCGTTCTGATCTGTAGGTAGATTAAGGTTCGCACATACATTCATCTACCCGCTTGAAAGCTATCTTTGAAGCAGTTTTCTTCCTGCCTTTGGATTTTCTTTGGCCGTCTGTCTGCCCGTCGGATGAGTTCCGTTTACCGCGAGTTCTGTTACGACGCCTGCCATCACCTCGTTTCAGCCTCAAAGCGGCTAGTCGCTCTTCAGCGAGCAAGAGTGCCATGTCGTCCGGGTCAGCTTCCTCGTCTGAGTCCTCCAGGTCCTCTGATGAGTCTTCCTGGGACCGGAGTTTCTTAGCCTTCTTTCGCGCTCTGAGCTTGGATACAAGCCGCTTGACAGCCTTCTCATCGAGGGCCGTATCATCATCTTCACTCTCGTCTGAGTCCGACTCCGACTCGGATTCATATTGCGACCGGGACTTCTTCTTCCGACTACTTCTTAGTGACTTCTTTGTCTTGTTCTTGGTCCCTCTCCGCCGATGTGTCCTTTCCGGCTCCGATTCAGATGAACTGGAGGGAGATTCTTCATCTTCGGATGCAGATTCCTCGGCGCTGGAGCTATCAGCAGAGGAATCCGACTCATCCGAACTGTCATCACTAGGAGTGACTACGGATGATGTCTTGGATTTATGACTCTTCTTTTTCGAGTCGCGATTGCGGCCGTTAGGGTCTTTTTCCTTGGACGGATGTTTTTTGCAAGCCGGGGCGGTTTCTGACACAGCAACGATTGATTTCGCATCTGGCTTGATAGTAGTGTTGTCGACCGGCGGCTCGGCCTCATGTTTAGTTTCCGATGCGGCGGCGGCGGCGGCCGTGACGCTGGAATCGGCCATGGCTTCAGGGCGCTGATTAGATAGGGCCCGCTGTGGAGCTGCTTCGGGGAGCGGAGCAGATGGGGTCAAGAGCGGATCCGAGCTTTGCTCTTTTTGTGGCTCGGGCTCTATGACGGAATGTTGAGCTGTGTTGTTAGAGCTAGGATTTAGAGCGGTAGCACTTGGTGACATTGTCCGTGACCTCTAGCAAGTGGGAGGGGAATATAGTCGTGATAGGTTTAACACGGGATATTATGAATGAAAGGAGGATTGGGGTGTGAATGTAGGTGTCGGTGGATCAGATGCACGAGAGAAGGGAGAAAGACCAATACATATACCACAATGAGCGAAAGAAACCAGCTTACCTGAACTGACGTACGAGCCCTGACGCCTAAACACAGATATCACAGACTAGGTTGGCGCCTTGCTTCGTATAATCGGAATGGATTGGCCGACGACTGAGGGCTCTTCTGGCGGTGAGAATGAGGCGGAAGAGGTCCAATGCCCTACGACTTGGGCGCGGGATGTATCGAGAACGAACGAGAGGTAGGTAGCATGAAGACAACCTTACCACAGAAGTTGAAAGGAATCGTGGTTACAGAGCGGAGACTGGCGTGGTCACTGCGGGAATTGACGAGGAAGTCTCCGGGAAAGTAGCAGTCAGAAAGGGATCGTGAGATGATAGCGCGTTATAAACGGTAAAAGGAAGGTAAAATGCACAGGGACCGATTGTTGGACAGTCACCGATCCTAGGAAGAAGCAAAGCAGTGATGCCTGAGAGCTGCATGTCCCAATCACAGCTCTGCCTGAGGCGCTGAGTCGTTGTCAGCGCTTCAGTTCAGCCCCACGATGCAGGCATCCCTACCAATGATCGTTTGCCCCAGAAATGGGTTCGAATGGCGCAGATCCAGAATGGGGAGTCTTTGGAATGGATTTATTTTGTTCTCTGCCTAATTTAGGTATTCATGACTCACTACGACGAAGGATTTCTTCAGGACTCTAACTTTATCTTTGGCCAGATGATCACCGGGCAACGGATATTTTCATCATCTCATTGCGTTTCAGCCTAAAGGATGCCTTGGGGGAAGGCCGTAATGATGATACTAACAATAACAAGAATAATATTAATGATCGTCATGAGTCAAAGACCAGACCTGCCGATCTTTGGGTTACACAACCGTGACCGCAGGAATCGGCGATGATTTCCAGTCTCTTTTCCCCCTCCCCCCTGCCTTTGAAACGCATGCAGCCTGTCAGTGCGCCAGTGCAGCTGTACTGTACTTTTGCCCTTTAGGGCGCTGAGCTATATCTATCTGTGATTCTATAGGAGGATGTAGGTCGGGGTAAGGGATAGCGTACTAGTACCGAGTAGTACTAGGTATAAATATAGTCGTACTATTTGGAGCGATGCCTAGCTCTCCCATCGTGGACTACAGGAAAGAATAAAAAGAGCAAGGAAAAAATAAATAAACTACTGTTCGAATGACGATCACAGATCGGATTTGAGCTGCATTTCCCCTCCGTCTCGATGATCAAAACGCGGAATGCAAACCCACCCGAATCCCAGTTCCGGATACGTGAGCTCAGCCAGTATAGACAAGGATGAGGGCATAATCCGAACAGGATTTATTCCGATTGAACACCGTCGTGCCAGATGTTCCCACTTGTATGGAATTCTCGTCAGCTGAAGAACCAAACCGGATATTTTTGCCCTATCGTGGCTTATCAGTGACAACATCATTTATTGGTTGACTTTACAATCAGCTCATGTGTTAGAATTGACTTGATGGAGAATAATTAAGCCAGGCTTTTACAAGAAAAACAGCATAGCTATCCAGCTGTGTCATCTTCAATTGCATCTAGCCCAAATCTCTACTTCGCATCCCTTTTCCTAGCCCAGACCTGCCCTCCACCTCCCATGGAAGTCTATCAAACCTCAGAGCCTCTCACTCCTCCTCCTTGACAGCATCAGCATGAGTGTTACCCTTAGCCAGATCCTTGAACTTCTTCTGCAAAGCAGCCACAGGATACTTCTTCCCACCGTCAGCCTCAATCGCCTCCATAAGCTTAGGCCACTTCTCCTGCTCAAACTTCTCCTCAATCTCCTTCTTAAGACGAAGAAGTCTCGCTTCCTACGCACAACTAGCGTCAGTATGCATCACCAGTAGCAAACAGAGAAGAAGAACATACATCTTCCGCAGTAAACTCCACAAAATTCGCCTTCATAGTTGTATACCTCATTCGCAGCGTACTAGTCCCCACCTTGATACCAGTCATCTTCATCCACGACTCATTAATCTCGCCCCAGTTCTTGCCCTCGTCATCCCGCATCTGAATAATCATTCGATCGGATAATCCAGCCGCCTCGAAAGAGGTCGGGATGGGTCCGATGGTTTTCTTCGAGGGGCTAGATCCCGCTGCTGCCTTGGCCTTCTTGGAAGGTGAGGCTTTCTCGCCGTTGGCGGCTGCGGATTTCTTGCCGCGTTTGGTGGGTGTGCTTGCTGCTGCGGCCTGGAGGGCTTTTGTTTAGTTTGTCGGTCAGTGACTTTGGGGGGGACTTGAGGAAAGCTTACCGAGGGGGAGGGGACCGAAGTTCCGGCAGTGTTGCCGTTGATGGGGGTGAATTCGGGCATGGTGTCCTCCTGGGAGGCGGGTGTGGGTGGAGTTGGAGGTGCCTGGTCCATTGTTCGTTGGTTGGTAGATAGGTACGTGGGACTTGTGCAAGTGGATGTTGTGAGGTGAGTTGGGGTTCGCGATGTCGAGTCTTTGGTTGTGAATGATAAGAGAGAGAGGTGCAGTAACACCATCGCTGCTTAGACGATAGGTGTTGAAGTGATTAGGGTATCAATGTAGTCTGGTGAGATGAAGGGATCAGTGAGTGGAGGAACTCAGTGAATCAAAGGATGACCTGATCAACTTGCAAGGGAAACAAGTGTTACTGGGCTACTGAGATTCTTGGACTACGGAATGTATTGACTTGCTGATTACACTCTCAGTGTCAGTGAAGGATTGCACAGGGGATTAGAAAGCTTGAGGCTTCAAAGGCCATTCGGTTGAGGACACAACGAACTGTTCTACAGCACTCTTGAAGATTTAAGCAGAGGAGTCGGATCGTTTAGTAATGCTCAGTAATGTAGGAAAAGGATGGGCACGTAGAGAGCCGAGTTAGATGCAAATGAAGAGGCTACGGCTGGATAGCTGTGTGAATTTCTTGGAAAAGTTCGTGGATTACCATACAATATCATGTTCAGACATCCTATCCCTTTAGATTCGTAGAATGGCAGTGTTACTGAAATTGCCGCTGCGTGATGTATATGCCAATTGATTGAGAACAGACCCGGTAGCCATACGGTAAAAACGAAGAGAGAGAAAAATAGAAATAAAAGGGAAAAATAATACCCAACAGACTCCCAAGGATATCAAAGAACATCCCACTTTGACAATCACGCCGGAGGTATCTATGTGCGCCAGAAAAACCAAGACAAGCCGATAAATGAACAAAGTAGACCGTCTCAAAGAACACTTATTTCCCGATGCCCATCTCGCATGATATCCGAATCACCGTTTCTATCTCTCATGGAATCATCGCTCTCGGTCCGCGTAACCATCGCCGGTCGAATCTTAGCTCCAACAAATCCTCGTCGGTCTCGTCCGGTGCGACCACGGCCGAGCCAATTGTGCTTAAGCGCTTTGCTCAGAAGCTCGATTTTCTCTTGCGGCTTGCCGCCCGTCTGCACACTGGCTAAAACACTAACACATTGAAGCATCCGACCAACAGTCTCTGTGATAACATGAGACGTATCAGCGGTATGAGACGACCGATGGATGATGGTCGGCCGTTGTGTCGGGGACGAAAAAGATTGGAAAATAAGTTGGTCAGGGTTGGACGAAGTGTTGGAAGCAGCACGGCTGCGGTTGCAGCTCATAGAGTCTGAGGAGTGGCTGGCTGCAGTATTGAGGAGAGTAGAAGACTGAGAATTGTAGCTGCCAAAACCGGCATCCAGCGAGGCAGCCGTGGCGGGACGACCACTGCTACTGCTGCTCTTTGTCGTTATACTGAGGGCAGAATTGCCCAAGTTGATATTTTCAAGACTCAAACGGGAAAATGTAGCCTTGAGGCCGTCGTAACGATAAAGAATGACCTTATCACGGAAAGCTATCAACACAAGGTTGCGGACTTCAAGCTCGCACCCAGGGTAATCCCCATTCAAGGCGGCAGCCAGAACTCGCGGGCCTCTCGAAGATTCATCACAGTTCCGCAACCCCTGAACTCGAGGTCCAAGGGTAAGAAAACAGCCTGTATGAACGGAAGAATTGTGCCAAAGACAAGCATCCATATCTGCACCAGATGAGGAACCAGCTTCTCATCGGGTACCCCGTTTAATGTATGATTTAAGGATGCAAATCCGGTCTCGAGTAGCTCCCGTAGATCATCAACAATGGCGGATGGCGTGCGCTTTTGCACACAGCGCTGGATGTGAATCAACACCAGCTTGTTGAGATCTTCGATAGAAATACGGACATCTTCCCCATCGAAAATCACCAACAGCTTAGCCTTCAGGAAATCCCACGCATCTTCCGGCGACATGTTGTTCAGGCCAAAACCCTGTAAGGTCTCTCGAAGAGCAGCCTCCGTGAGACCTCCAGCCGAGCCAATTGAGGATGGCCCCGCAAATACGGTCGACGCACCACCAGCGCCTGTCGGACCAGTCATCCATTCATGTTGCTCTGACTCTGCCATCGCCTTCTCTTTTTCCTTCTCCTCCTTCTTCTTTTCCCGTAAAGCTCGACCGCCGTGAAGGATATCCAACCCACTCACCGATTTGCCAAACGTCGTCGACGTTGGACCCGGAGAAGCAGGTGTAAAAGAGTAAAGCGACTGGGGGGCGTTTGGGTCAGACGGTTTGGAGTTACTAGAAGCAGAAGAGAGCGGTAGGTTGTAATGATCATCACGGTCCTTTAACTTCAGCTTTTGCCTCGACAAAAAATGATGCTTATGGGCCTTTTCCTTGTCCTTCTCTTTCTCACTGGACACCGGCTTGTCGGCGGGGACCACCGTACTCGCAGAGGCATTGGATAGGTTATACATCGAGGAATTGTTGGATGGGAAGGTGTCAGCTAAGCTGGTCGTAGATGCACTGACAATGCGTGACAATCCTGCTCCGGAGAAGCCCATTTTGCTGGGCGATGGGAGCCCCCTATCCTTCGGTATTCCGTCTTTATCCCGGCTAATCCCAATATGTTTCGGCTTCGAAAACAGCTTCATCTTCGATTTCTCCCCTTTATGTTTGTGCTCCTTTTCCGGCGGCGCTTCTGGCCCGGGAGGCTGCAGCCCGGCGTGCCGTGGAAACGCCACATTGGCCGCTGTGGTCGCTACACCGGAATGGCCATTCTGATATGTTTGCCCTGAGGATCCACTGGACCCGGGCGGTGGTAGGGAAGGGGTCGGCAGTAGCGGGGGAGGGGAAATACTACCTCCCCTGGTTCTCGACCCATCGTCCGGAGTATAGATAATGGTCTGAGGTCGTTTGGGTGGTTGTTGCGTGTTACTACCCTGTTGCTGCTGCTGTTGTTGCATCGCAGTCTGGGCTGCGATTCTCGAAGCCGAAATGGTCGAGTCCGATGCGGACGCCGTAGGGAGGGAAGGTTCGAAGAACCCCTGCGAGTGATGTCGAGACCGATGTTTCATCATCAGATCGGGCGGATGCGCCCGACCCGTCGGTTTCCTACTCGATATCTCATTCTGTGGCATGAAGGAAGCGGGAGGCCGAGTGTGGGTAGGCGAAATGCCGTTCTGGCTACTCACAGTGGCGGTGGTAATCGATGAGGTCCGCGGCGGCCGGGGGGATGACGTCCCGCTAGGAGGTTGATAAAACGGGTTTTGGACGGCGGATATGGTTGTCACATTGGAGGTCACTGAAGAGGCATCACTTCCAGAGGAGCCTGGACGTCCCAATTCACTATCGAAGGATGGCCGAGAGGGATTTGGCGGTCGGGCGGAGGAACGCTCAGGTGAAACCGGCGAGCGTAACATGGTTTCGCTGTTGGTCGTTCAGGCAGTGCGTAATTTATACGTAACGGTGGACAACAAATGAGAGCGAGTCAGACGGAGTTATTAGAACACCATAGCCACATTCCCCATGTTCCGTGGTCATGGGTTGTGGTTGTTGTGATTTGTTTACCAGATCCTGGCGTTGGATCTAATACGTAGATTAATTCAGCCGCCTAGAGAAGGATCAGCAGCCGTGAGAGATGACGGAGAACTATAAGCGTACATAAGTGTCCATTTGTCGTCGATCTTTGCTTGACTCCGCCGCGCACAATCCGAAATGAAACCAACACCGCCTTCCCATAATTTAGGCGCCCCGCAGACTATTGCTCTATGAATCAAACTAACCCTCAGCCAACATATTCTCCCCTCCATGTCCGCCACTACCACATCTGACGATCAGCACGATTCCAAACGACTAAAAACGTCCTCGACTAACGAGACATCCCGCAATACCGGTATTATGGCGGCAGGCACTTCCTCCACCCAGTCCAATCCCCTGCGCGCGGTCTACTCTGCCCCTCAGTTGACGCAGACTTTTGAGCACTCCACCTCCTCGCCTTTACCCTCCACCGATTTATCCGCAGAAAATGTACAGATTAAAGTAGCTTATTTGTCCGAGCTCAGAAAATTAGTGCCAAATCTGCAGAATGATATCAACGTGTTCCTGACCGAACGAATGGAAGAGGATAAAAAGCTTGCGGAAGCCCAGGGACGTCAAATCTCAGAGCAAGAACGCAAAGAGGAAGAGAACTACGGAGAGGAGGTTGTCGAGGAGGATTCTTGAAAGTCTAACTAGTCTATGTCCGAAGTCTTGATGACTTCTATTCGATACGTTCGTTGGGATTATGCCAAGGAGACAGGCTATATTACAAGAAGTGATGAGGACTCGAAAGCCAAGTAAAGATATAGAACGGATCCTTGGATAACATCGCTATCCTGGGTATCAAAGAGCAGAAATCATCCGCCACTCCATTGCGATAATATGCATTGAGAACGAAATGTGCAGAGACTTTGATGTGAAGAGAGAAAGGGCTAAGAGGGGAAGGGTGAAAAAGAAGAAAATAAAAAGACAGCAACTAGATGTGGAAGTCAAATGTTCAACGCATGCATACCGCAGAGACCAACCTGATTCTATTTGCAAGAAACTTCATGAAGCGGCGGATGCACGATTGGCACAGCGAGGTGGACAACTGTATTACTATGGGCAAGTCAGCAGGAGAACGAAGATACAACCACTGCATGGAAAACGTACTCTGGGAACACATTAATCACACTGCCACCGATACGCTTGTGACAGATGCCACATATCCGTTCCTCAGTGATGGTGACATGTCTCATTCTGCATGACTTTCCGTCCGTCCCTTCGCCCACCATGAGCTGCGCTTCTGTCTTGAAGTTCTGAGCTTTCTGCAAATTGGCCACAATTCGACTTTCGTTTAATGCCGAGGTGGCTGCCCGCATACGGCCCTTGAAATAAAAGTCAAGTTCTTTAACAGGCAGTGACTCGGGGATCAACTCTAATGCTGAACTTGGTGGAAGACGAGATCCGTGCTTTGCCAGTATGTCCAGCGCAGGCCCATATCGGCGCTCATACCCATGAGGCGGAGTGAGATACAGTGACAGTAGTGTCAGATGTATAGATGATTTATCACTAGAGTTAAGCACCGATAAAGGTGCGGCTTCGGCAGTTGTATCCTCCGTCTTATGGAGATGGTTACAATACCTGCAGAGAGTCTATTAGAACAACCCCCTCAAGAATGTAAATGAAGCGTGCGGTTCGCTGAACATACTCTTCCGCCTTCGCATAATCCTCCAATTTGAAGACATAGATTTCCAGGGCCTGCCTGTGCTGACCCATTTTACTGAAGACAATGGCTCTTGCTTCGAAGAATTCAGGGTCTATTACATGGTTAGCTGGGCGCATACGTAAAGGCGTAGAACGGGTAGTCGGTACCATCGCGGTCAAGGCTGTCAAGTATCTTAGCTGGCGAATATTGAGAGCTTGATCTCAACATCTCCAGGAATTTGTTTCTCCATACAATACGTTCCTCGTCGCTAGCGAATGACCATTTGTCGGATCCGTCTTTCTTTAACCGATCCATGTAGAAAGTGAGGAGCTTTTGGTGTAAATCCGGAGTCATGTCGTTCAACTCTCCGATTACATGTTCGAGATATCGAACAGCCAAATTCGGGTCGATGCCTTGCAAGAACTCGAGAACCTGGTGTCGGGGTAGTGTCTCTGCATTTTCAGTGTCTGCTAGGAAAACCTCCATACCAAGGTTGGGGTCTTCCTGCACGGGCCATTTAGCGAATTCGAGGATGAGGTCAATTCGGTCAGGTGGCAAGTTTTGCAGATACGCAACTGTTCGCTTGGGACCATGAAGCTGCGGTGCCGTTTCAGTCTCAGACTCAGCTTGACCAAATCGTTGCAGGAGCTCCAGGGCTTGACGATGCATCTTCTTTCCGTAAAGGAAATCGATCAAGTCATTGTAACGGCCAGTTTCCTCCAACTTTTCCATGACGACCTCCGGGTCGCAGAAGTTGGCGATTCGAAAGAGCGAGCCAGCGAGAGCAGGAGTGGCGTACATGCAAACCCGGAAGAAAGTCGTATCGACGAGCCTGGCTTCCTCGCGCAACTTTTCAGCGAATTCGTGGTCATGGATGTCCTGGGTGACATCGAGCAATTTCATCACTGAATCAGTGAACTCATCGTTTGCTGTGTCAGAGGGAGAGTCGATCATCTTGAGTGATCCGTCAGGGTTCAAGAACCGCTGGAACCTCCTCCGTACATCGGCCAGATATTTCTGTAATTCGCGAACGGCAATCAAGAGGTCTTTTCCGTGTAGAGGTTTCTCGTTCCGAGCTTCCTCCGTGGGCTTGCCGCGGATACTGCCAGCATCGCTCCAATCATCTGTGCGAGTTCGAAGGAGAGATCGCACCGAGGGAGCATGGTTGAGTGTCTTTGAAGCAGGAAGATTCTCTGTATTAGCACCGTCCAGCTGAGCTTGACCCTCGTTTGACTTTGATGGATCATCTGTGGTACTCTCCTCAGACTCATCCTCTTCGTCGATTGACGATATATCGCCAGCAATGACTTCAGGATACAATCGGATAACAGTCTCTGGGGGAGCCGAGATCTCGGTGAATAAGTCCAAGGAGTCACGGTATTTGCGCAGGGTAAAAAGCCCCTGAGCCTTTTCCATTTTGATTGCCCGTAGTCGACCTTTCTTGTCACTGAGCAAGGCATCTTCTAACATGCTAGTAAGGCTGATTGCTTCGTCCAAATACCCCTTTTCCACAAGAGTATCTATTTGCGTATCATAGCTCAGGGCCTCCATCCGCCATATGGTGCGGTCACTTCCAACCAGGAAACCCTTGCCTGCATGTGCCAAACTAATATTTGGCTGTGGAAAATGTAGGATGTTCGCAGATGGTAGAGCCACCGACTGCAACAATGATAGGGTCTCCGGATTCCTAACTTCCATTACACCTTTTGAAGGGTCATGGAGCGCGAGGAGGAAAGGGTAAGAGTACCCAATATTTGCCGGAGCGTGACTCCATGGGATCTGTCTGCGTCCCAGGGAGTTGCCGTTGATATCGATGAAATGGGTGTTGATATCCTTCGCTAGCAATATCTGCCCTTCAATAAGCCGTGTCGCCAGTGGCTTCGGTGCTGCCCCGCCGATTCCGATATAACTCATGCTAGCAACTCCGACGCCGGCCAGACGACTCGTCTCCTGGCCCCCGAGACCTCCAATGCTTCCCGGTCCAGCTAATTCGGTCACCACTGAACTCTCAATATCCACCATTACAAAGTTCGAGCCGAGTCCAGCCACAAGCTTTGTCCCGGAAACCCATGTGAGTGTCTTGATCCCACTGACTAGTGTCATCTCAGCGGCGTCGCTGTCCAATTCCATATCGCGCCATGACCACAGCAATATTTTCCTCTTCACCGCAACCGCCAGACGAGATACAATGGACGGAACTCCGGTTTCGGGATCGTTCGCGATATTTGAAGTCACGGAAAAGGTGGTTGCTCCTTTCGTTTTGGTAAGCTGTTCTTGGAACTCGTAGGTCTGCAGGTCATGAATCGAAACGTATCCGCCCGACAGCGAGATGAGAAGCTTAGCCTCCTTGATCAGAGCCAGCTGCTCGATCTTGTATCTCGAGAACTTCTCCAATTCCCGAAGCAAATCAGTCTGTTTTGGCTTGGCAACGGAGTCCGTCGTCCCAGCCGGCCACTATCCCCGTTCTTGAGTGTACCTCCACCGCCCTGCTCGTCATGGTTATGGTTGTTGCTGTCATCGTGATTTTGTTCGTCCGGGGTAACCTCGTTTACTCTGTATATCCGTAAGCTCCCATTGTTCAGTCCGACAAGGAGTCGGTCGCCGTAGGCGAGCACCGACTCAATCCTAGACTTGTCTCGGGGCTTGAGCTCGACGAGAGGCCGAGCTGTGAACGCTGATAACATGGCTTGGCAGCGAGCTTCCGTGGTCGCGCCTCTTCACTTGAGGAGCGGGATAGAGTCATGTCCAGCCAGGGTTGATCATGGGAGGATAATGAAACGGAGGCGCATGCTGCGATTGCTCCCCTGTTGCAGCTTTGCTCTGGTATCGGCAAGCACTACTTCCCGTTGTCGCCAAGCGTGTGACACTACTGTATGGGACCTTCCATCCCGACGGCCGCTTTCCGCCTCATGTGACATAACTAATTGGTCTCGCCGCCTTTCGGCCCAACCAATGATGTGGTTGCGCATGCATGGACTCGGTGGTCTTCAATGTTGCTTTGCAATCTATATTTTCATCTTAACATTTGTTATTGCTCTTACCATTTAATAGGCATGTAATTGTCTTCTCGATCAAGGGATACATAATATAGACGAATAACGGTCATAACTATGGACAGAGAATTCTATATTTTTATTCACCGGATAAGACGCTCAAATGCTGAAGTGCAATGGGTCCTGGTCTCCACCTGCCAGCTGTTCTCGCATGCAGGCTCACTCCATAATCGTACGGTCTTGCCCACAGAGTGAATGAATTCTGAGGCTGTGTTAATGCAAAGGCGAAGACATTGGGATCAAAGAAACAATACCGGCCATTCTATATGTGTGACCGGCAGCCGACTGAGACCTGTAGATAGCATGAATTATATAGAAGAAAAGGTATATAAAACGTCGAGGAAATAATGTATGTAATGTGTTTGATACTCCGGATGTCTTGAGAAGCGGTAGACATTATGGAAGGCACAGCCCGAACGGAAACAGAACAATCGAACACGGTTGGAAGCCAAAGCGTGTGCGCTAAGAACCTAATCGATTAGGTACTAGCATGTCACGCTTTGATCTGTGTAGGGTAATCTTGATGTTTTGCGGATGTTCCTTTGGCACGCCAGGTAGACACGGCTGGGATGTCGGCTTTAAAACGCTGTTCATCGGTACCGTAGGCGCGAGGAGTAAGTTTGATCAAAGTATGTAGAGGAACCTCCATCCACGGGCTCTGCTCCTGAGGGGTATTCAGGAAATAGGCATAAATACACCGCAGCACAGCCTGGTGAGTGACAATGATGACGTTCTCGCTGCGCTCCAGCTCCATGATAATCGGTTCAAGACGAATGACAACATCGCGGTACGATTCACCGCCTCGGTAGCGGTAGTTGTACTTGTCCTCGTCCCGCGCGGCGAAGTCCTCTGGGTATTTTTCAGCGATTTGTTCATATGTCAGGCCATCACACACCCCCGAGTCAAGTTCATCAAGGGCTTTCCATTCCAGCTTCTCGTATCCAGTTTCCGCGGCGAGGTGTCGAGCTGTCTGGATTGTCCGCCTGAGAGTAGATGTCCAAATCACGATTTTAGTGTTGGGTGGCACTCCTGATTTTTTCAGTAGACCAGGAAGTGCCCGGGCATAGGCCTCGCCACGGGGCGAAATGTTAGAATCCCCACCAATCTTCCCTGTAAGATTATATTCTGATTCTCCATGCTGGTGTGAGTTAGATAAGCGTCTCTTTTAATACTTGACTCATTCTGTGGCAACTTACACGAGAGAGCCATATTGACCGGGGTTTTATGTGGAGATTCTGGATATAATAAACCAGTCGACTAGATAGATAGTCTTTAATCTGGTTTATGATCACTGTCGACCCCACATTGATGAGTTTTACGTAGGTGTAGTGCTTCTCATTATCGTCAATGGTCTCGTACACCTTTTCGTAATTGCGAATTCGGTTACGGAAATCCAAAGCAGCAGCCTCAGGGTCCTGCCCCTTGTAGTCTGGTGAGGTGGTCTTGACTTCGAGGATGTTGTTCATTATTAGGTCTTCCTCATCGCATATTGACTCAACGAATAATGTTTCAACGTTGGCAGCATGGCAGCTTTCGTAAATCCAACTTCGCCGAGATTTAGTCGAGTTAGTCGCATCTAATATAGCCACAACCCCTTTTCCGGAGCTAAACCATTGAAGCATATCCGACATGGCAGCCTCTGCGGCGGCCTTTCTCATCTTCTCTCCCTCGGAGTTGTGAGGGTCAAAGAAGGTGGCATTGGGTTGCGGTGTATTACTTCGGCGATAGGTTCCCACGTTAAATACACGAGCAGGTATGCCGACCCAGGCAAGATATCGCATTGCTAGTTTTTGTATTAGCACCTAGCACATGAAGGGTTACGCCGAGGGAGATACACACCCTTCCCAGCTATGAGACTTTTGCCTCTGGCTGGAAGGCCAACCATAACGACACAAATTTTAGTGTCATCTGCCTAGCCTAATAGTGAGTACGTTTGCTGCATGTATCAAAACTTCCTCAATAGAAGCATAATGGGGCAGTAATCATGGTGATAAAACGAAACCGACAGCGGATGGACTCGATGACGCCATGCGCCTCACCATCTAGATTTTGAAAGACATTGGGAAATACAAACACATGGACACAGTAAAAAGAAAATAAAATAAAATAAGGAAAAAAATAAAAAACAAAGGAAAGGAACAATATTCACTACATCTATCGAGCACCAAGTCGAATATTCAACTTTTGTTTGGATAACATAGAATGAACCATGACAGGCATGTATTCAAAAATAGTTGAAAGAGCGGAAATGCGACCAACAGGTACCGTCAAGTATCGGGAACAACTTACACTGGCAAAGTAGCTCTTGGTCTGACCTCTTCTCACAGACATGCTGGGCAACAAATCGGGATGGATTTTTTCAAATCAGGATATGCACCACGGGGACAAAAGAAAGACGAATTCAAGCCTCGGCCACTGTTTTGTCCGACGGGACTGAAGGCCGGAGAAGAGGAAAGTTAGGCTGAAGTGGAATAGCGTTCAAGACAAAGAAATAGGGACTTTTAGTCTTTCCCCAGATAAACTTTTCCCTGGCTCTTAATTGTTAATCTTTCAAGTATCTGCACTATCACTGTTCAATGACTGGACAGATCCCGCTGTCGTGCTTCGCAAGGGACGTTTAGAGTCGTCAATGTAAATTAATCAAGAGATCTGGTTGGATCCCATGGAGGCCCAACTCTTGATGCGAAGGAGGAAAGTAAAGGGGATCAGCACAGACGTCATGCCGTGGGGCAAAGTCACCACAACTTCTTCTAGTCTAACTAAAGGAGAGCTGGACTTGTCGGTGATGAAATGGTTCCAAATGGTTGGCAATACTTCAAGAAAAAAAATAGAAGAAATTTGAAACAAAATTTCAGACAAACCTACCCATGCCTTTTTATGAAGGATAAACGAAGATCCAGCACCTCGAAAAGACGCACCACGTGACCCTCCGGGTACGATTTTCGTCGGGTAAAATCGCTGCCCCCGGTTCTGGAAGCCGGAAAGACCTTCCAGCCTTCCGCTGGGTACCCTCCGATCTAATCTTGGAACACACTGTCAAGATCATCATCGGAATCCTCCTCCTCCAGATTTGGCTGCATGTAATCCAGGGGAAGGCTACTGTGTACTAAGTATATCCTGACAATAACTGGAATTGCACCGATTGGATCCCAAGAGGTCATGGGTTGCCTTGTGGGACTAGAACATCATACGGCTAAGGTTCAGGATGTCAATAATAGATCCATCCATATCACCTGCCCATCGGTGGAATCGCCTATTCAGGGAAAGCAGATCCTCACTGGACGCTCCCGACGGTTACATTGACTAGTGGGAGACTAATTGAACAGGTCTAGACTCTAGACACTAGAGAAATCATAGTCACATTGAGACTTCATTGACGTGATCTATTCCATTTTACCCCTTTTTGTCATCAATCATCATTGAAACCCGTTTTTCCTTTTCCTTGTGTTTCCTTTTTCTTTCCTTGTATGTGCCCTAGCCGCTCCTGCCTTGGTCATCCATGTGGATAGATAGATTTGAAAAAACTATAGCCAAGTGTTGACCGGCGTCAAGTGTGTCCTTTTTGCCTTCCATCCAAGGCCGAGGCGTGCTGATAGCGCGTGTCTTATTGGGCAGACAATGATCCTATATGCCACTGTAGGAAGGAGTTGTTTGACGTCAAGATAGAACGAAGTCGGGAGGGCCTGTTCTGACAAGATTCTAGAAAAGCCCATCCTGCCCAAAGTGATAAAGCGCCAAACTCCAGTTTTGCCTTTGCCGTTTTTTGATTCGGAGCGCCAAGTTTATGCAATTATATTCTAGCCAACAAAGCATGAATGACTATTCGGGGGTAGATTAAACAGCAACCGAGACATCGCCGGTAGCTGGGGTTTCGTCTCGTGCAGAAGACCACTTGTTCTTCCGGTCTTCAGAGTTGGTCTCTCCGCGAGCCCTCTGCACTCGGATAGGGTTGCCCCAAGGACCCTCCTGCCCATTCAAGGCATTCATGGCCGATTGTGCCTCTTCAACACTGCCGAAGTCGACAAACAAGTAGTAGTGGTCACCGGGCTCGAAGCGCTTCGCGGGGTGGGGAGTGAACAGCTTGCTAACATTCTCACTAGCAGTCAATTATGTCAGTATCATCAGGCAATTGGCTTTCCAGGGAAGAAAAAGCATACAGCTTGTAGTCCTTGAAGAAATTCGTGATATTGCTGGAAATGTCTTCTTGATCGGTCAAGCGGGGAAGGCCACCAACATAGAGCCGGCGGCTGGAATCACTGTTGGTCCTGGCAAAGGTAGGAGCATCGCTGCGGCGCCACCGGTCCATAGTGAAAAGCGAGGTCTTACTATCAGAACGAGGAGATCCGTCTGTCCGCTGCTGTTGCTGTTGCTGGGAGCGCTCGCTAGAAGACTTGACCACGCCCGGCTTAATTTTAACTGGACGGCCAAGCATGTCGCGACCATCCAATTCGTTCATGGCCTTCTCTGCCAATTCCTTCGATTCAAGGTCGACGAAGCAGTATGAAGGGTTGCGACCAGTGAATGGGTCAATGGCAATGTCGATCCGCTCGCTATGAAGCACTCAGTCTGGACCCATCTTTATACAGTATTTCTCACTCATACATTGGAAACTCGGCCGCGGTGAACAGCGCTTGCACATCTTCCGACTTGGCAGTGTAGGGCATGTTGCCCACATAGAGACGGCGTCCTTCGGAGATAGCCTGAGGAACATGAGGGCTGGGTCTGCTAAATGCAACTCTCGAGGTATTGGTCTTCGGACCAGGAGACCCCGCGCTCTGCGCACTGGGGCTCTCCTCACCCTTCACACGCCAGTTGGGGGAATGGAAGGCACGGCCTGTCGTTCTGACTCCATTCTGGAAAGACTTGACGGGAGCTAAAGACCCATTAGTGAATCATGGAACATTGTCATCATTGTTGGATCCAGCCCCAAATGAGCAGCCCCAAGGTACTTTCTCCTACACACTTTGTTGCTGCGGAACAGGACTCTCAGGAGCGTCGACCATTTTGATATATGTATTATTGGATAGTAATATGAACAGGGTATGTAAAAATCGGCCTGAATCACCAGAAAAAAAAGTTAGCACATTGATGCGGCATAAAATTTACATATTTCCGGAAAAGACAATGATGAGCACAATAATCAACACGGATATCTTACCGTTGGAAACGTACAGCGAAACGAAATTAAAGCTATGCAATTAAAAGAAAGAAAAGAAGATCTCGTAGGCCCAATAGTCCAAAAGGTATCTCGCACAGGCGAAAGCCGTATAGAACAAAAATCACAAGCAAGTGCTGATGCCTACTTCGAAAAATTGCAGATTTACTTTTTTTGGGCGCTGCGGAAGGCCTACATTACAAACTGCGCAAACTATGCAAACCACTTATCGTAGTTCCTCCGTCTGGTTGGTCCATTAGCGAAGGGGCGCTAAAAACTGCATACCTATAAATTCTTGTGGTATCGTCGGTTTGTTTTTCATCTTCTCCCTTTGTATCACACCTTCCTCGCAGCTTTTTGCTAGCGATAAATGCTACCGGGGACACTCTGGCTACTGTTCAGGTTTCACTTGGTCGCTATGGACGTCCTACTTGATCAATAATGCGTGATCAATTATGATGGACTGATGCGTTCTTTCGGACTCATGCTTATTGCGCTTTTGACGTCGGGCTCGGATGAAAAAATATTTTTTCTCTCGACCGAAGGCTTGAATCGAGTGATGAAATAGTTTACTATGTTTCCTCGTCTTTTGTTTTTTTTCTTTTTTCTTTATTCTTTTTCTTTCCTTTTTTTTGCCGTCACAATACTTCGGATGATGAAGCAAGATTTCACACAGACCTGTTCCGAGTATAATCCATGCGGATCAATAATCGTACCAACTGCTGTCTGACGAAGTTCCCCTTTATACCCCATGTTGTTCATAGTTAGAGTTTTATGAAAAAAATTAATTCCTATTGAAATTCGGAAACTTAACTCAGTCCGTATACTTGCTATGCAATCTGATCGAAACTTAATCTGGTGTTCAAGTCTTGTCACGCGACCTAGCTCATAAATACCTGGCAAATCCAGGACCCAGATGTAGATGGTATCGTAGTCGTCTCGCAGTGAAATTGAGAAGGTACAATACATGTCATAACGCATCTCGAGCATGTGAACATAACAAATCGTACACTATATACCCACTAATCCTCATTCTGCTCATAGAGTGTTGTAACCAGCTTCTGGTGGAACGTTAAATGCATCTTGTCGCTCATACAAGACCTCCGGCCGCACGTTCTGGCGTAAGATATACCTTTGGAAGAAATAAGGGATTTGCCGAAGTCCATACGCAGCATGAAAAGTTGTGGAAACGGAGAAAACCTGATCTAACTCTTCCAGAGTCTTTCCTTTTGTCTCAGGCATCAACAAGAGTATCAGCCACCAACCCACAATATTCCAGCCTGCGTACCAACTGAATGCACCTTGCGGAGTGAACGCGCTGCGAAGAGATGGCCATGTAACGGCAAGCGTGAAATTGAACAACCAGGTCGTCGCAGTGGCGAGGGCCATGCCATACGAACGTATGTAGAGCGGGTAGGCTTCGGCTGAATAGGTGAATGGCACAGGGCCCTCTCCGACGGAATAAACAATGCCAAAGAAATATAAACCCAAAGCGATACATGCTAGTCGCGCCGAGCTATGAGTTTCTTGTGGAATCCAGAAACTGAAACCGGTGAAGAACATGGAAAGTGCCATCAGAGGGAATGTGGTAAGTAGCAAGTTACGACGGCCAAAAGTATCAATAGTGTACACTGCTGGAATGGCAAAGAGCCAGTTAATCAGACCCCAACCTAAGGATGCCGTCAAGGCGTTCCGCTGATTTGTTGCTTCTAAGAAGATCTCGGAAGAATAGTAGGCAATTACATTGACCCCTAGATAGAGAATGAGTAAGTACCTGACCAAGACCGACCATGTTGGATTCATTATGCTTATGATACATACCACAGAACTAAATCATGGTTAGCGTACTTATCAACAGAAGCATAGGTCCTATGCAATTGGGAACACACCTGCTGCAGAAACATGACCAACTCAGACGCTACCAGGGCACGCCGGTTGCGAGGAACGGTGATCATCTCGAGTACTTTATTCTGACCGAGTTTCATCCCATTTTCGGCCTCCAGCAATGTGTGCATGTAGAAGAGGTCACGGGCAGCTTGGATCTTGTGAAATCGCAGGCTACACATTGATCGATATGCTTTATCGTGGCACTTCCGCGCCATATACCAACGAGGTGATTCCGGACAGGTAAAAACAAAACAACAAACCAGGATAGCTGGAAGCATGGCAGAGCCCACCATGAGACGCCAGTTTAGGCCTGTGATCCCTACTGGGTCTCGCACTTCATAGAAGACAAGGTCCGCGGCGTAGCCGAACATGATGCCGAATGCAGTCCACATCTGCCACTGCATTACCAAAGCACCGCGAATAACAGGAGGCGCTGTTTCAGCGGCATATATTGGGACTGTGGCAGATTTGGGGCCGATGCCAAAGCCCAACACAAATCTGGCAATGAACATATGCCACCAGGTGTTCACAAACCCTTGCCAAAGGCAGGCAAGCGCGGAGAAACAGCAAGTGATGAAGATAGTCCCCCGACGGCCAAACCAAGCATTGAATGGCACTGTCAGCCAACAGCCGATGACAGCACAGCACAAATAAGGAGCAGAATTGACCAATCCGACTAGCCAGTTAGACCTAGAATCATCGTTCCCAATTCCGAATTGGTGTTTATAAAAGATTTGGGCTCCATTGACAACAGTCTCATCTAAAATGCCGATTCACTGTCAGCTCAACACACCTCAACACATGTATAAATGGGAAGTAGGAATGTTGATAACGTACCCATTCCTTGTACTGCTGCAGCCAGGGAGCAGAGGGCGATGACTAGGTACATTGTCCAAGGCTGGGACCAACGATTGGAGAACTCCTTCTGTAGAACCTCTATTTCATCGGGCCTCAGGTCGGGAACATGAGTGAATTTCTCCGGTACTTGGGCCAGGATAGCGCCTATTCCAAAAGCTCGGATATCTTCTTGACCCCCTATATGATGTTTGACAGCGAAGTTGATGCCTTGTCTGCGCAGTTCCTCATAGGAATACCCAGCCAATGGATTGGCCAGTTTCGCGTTGATATTGCGCCTTGCACGTTCTGCAGCTGTCGCTAAGATGCGCCGTGGCATTGCATTCTCATTTCTTTCCACATGCTCGGTACCGTCTTTCTGTGGAGGGTCCGCAAAGGGCCCTATATCCTCCTTCCCAAACATCGTGAGTACATGTGATCGATGCCGCTATGTATATATCCTGTGAACGGAACAGTTGTCAAACAAAGCGAAAGGGCGAATTGCTGTAAGTTGAAGAGACCTGAAAGGAAAGGCCTAAGCAGCGTTGGAGATGGGCACCGAGACTGCAATAAGAATGGCAACAACAGAAAGGACGGACGATTTTGGAAACGGAAACGGTATAGTCGATAAAAAATAACCGTGGGTAGGTAGGGCAGTGGTTGCTCAGGTGCGCCGCAAGCTAACAAAGAACCAGAAGCCACTATGAAGTCTAAGAGATTGGAACATTCATGAAACATAACCGAGGTCCTATTTGGTATACAGCAAACTCCACAGGCCGGTCATCCACGTGGAGGAACGTAGTTTAATTTCTCAGTTTCGGAGAGGAAGAGAGAGATACACAGTGGAGCAGATAAGTAAAAAAGAGCCGCTACTAATCTGGTAGAGATCTTGCTGCAGGGTTGCGGGTATTTGAGGGTGCCCGGTTCGTATGGAGCACTTCGCTGACATGAGGCAATACTCTCACCGGGCCCGAGTGATTCAGTAGTCATGGTGGTTGGACCTCTGTCACGGCGATGGGAGGCTGATTCTTATTTTGCTTTGTTTGCGTGGAGCGTGAGTGCCTATGTGCCCGAATGTCAGCCCTTGTTGATTGGAGGAGCCTGTCTGGAATGGCTGGTGTTGAAAAGGCGGGAGAAACAGACAAAGAAGGCAGTGAACTTTGTATTTGGCCCAATAATCGCTATTTAGGGAGAACTCTAAGAGGCTGGCAAATCTGGGGTCGACCTATACGAGTGGCTGCTTGGCATAATCGGATCTGTGTGACTGAGGGAAGTTACTCGCATTGGGTCTTCATGCTGCGGACTAGACCGCGCCTTGTACAAGATGGAGTACGGAGGAGAGGTCATTGTTGAAGGTCGGACCCCCTTCCAATAATGATTGTATGGATAATGAAACCGGGGGAGAATAGTGTACAAAGACAAGTAACTTCCGTGGCTTAAGTTAAGGAAGGGAGGCAAACTTAACAGTCGGTAAGTTAGCCACAGTCCTGGGACCTATTAGCCTTACCTTACTATAAGTAGTACTACATACATACCGACTGAGGCAGATCGCGGGGCTGATTGGATAATCTGCGCACCATTACCTAGGTAGTCTCCTTTTCTTTCTTTCTCTTCATATGTTGATACTCCTAGTTTGCATATCACTGATTGGGAAAGATGTCTCATGATCAAACAGTCACCGTCTATTTCAGAAAGATTATCCTGGAGTGCTCGGTAAAGCGTCTAAACAGACGGTAAGGTGGTATTGCCAGCACAGCAGCAAATAACTTCCGTTTATGTTTTGACCTATCAGTGAAGGTCATGTGGACTCAGCCTTACTGATCGTCGCCGGACATTAAATAGAAGGCTGAGATATGGCTCACTTTGTGGAGGACATTGGAAATTTGACACATGCTCACTTTTCTAACATTTATTTACTATCATGACTTCTATCAGGACTAACTGTAGTATTAGGGTCGATCTACCATATCTTTCTGACATCAGCTTATGGGTTGCCCCATCTCACCTTCTTTCACACAGTGAACTATTATCTCGTGACATACCATATTCCTGTCGATTGAAACTATCGGACTGACAATACTCTCGGACCCACTGAAACGCTCATGGATGAGTATACTTCCCCTGGTG